GGGAACTATTCGACGATTAATTTTTGACCGTAAATCTTCTAGGACGTTAAGAACGTTCCGCGGCATTGTCTGGTGCACAGAGGTCGTCGGGCTCCTAAAGGGGTCTCGGCTTACTGGAACGCCTCTCAGCGTAATGGTATACCCACACACACGCCGCGAGCGCAAACGACACTAGCGCGCAACACCACAAGATGGCAGAGCACGCGCGCCGAACCGACTCAGTCGTGCATGATAGACATCTCAGTCGACACTCTCTCGCGCCTAATTGCAAAGATCTCGCACGAAAACGGCATCAAGCACCGCACGCACGACAAAAGGAGAAACAACGTCTCGCTGCTGGGAAGGCTTCTGCTTCTGCGCGTGACCTTCATTTTCGCCGTTAGAGGTCGCAAGCAGAGTGATGAAATGCTACTTCGATCAGCTATTACAACGGCGGATGTACCGATTGCCGCCAGGACGCCCAAAAAATCGTCGTGCGCGACCGAGGCCATTCAAGCTGCTGCTGATGTCGTCATGGGCGACGCACGAACAGGTGCCGGACGTGTCACTGGACAAGCAATGAGTATAAGTGCCGTCCTGTCTGGCGTACTTTGCCGTTGCCGTTCTGGTAGGTGCTACCCGTGGCGCATCACGAACAATCTGTACTTTCTTCGCTCTGCACTACACACGTCCGCCGTCTTGGAGCGTTGCTCATATTCCAATCCACTTGGGCAGTTGCTATGCATCTTCGTTAGTATCCATCCGCTAATAGTGGCCTTTATAGGCAGGTGAGCATGTTTTATGGATTCGAATGCAGTGTTTACTGGCAGAGGACGCGAAAGGTTTTGTCATCGCGGTACTCGGTAAGGTGTATTTATTACGATGAAAGCATAAAATTAAATAACAGTTGTGTGAATTTTTATGCTCGACCCTGAACCACATTTCTTGCCAATTTATTCTGATATTAATATTATCTTCCTCGTCGTAAATTTTTGTCTTCTAAATATGTTTCTTCGAATGTACAACTTTTTATTAATAGCTAAAGAATAACAATCTATAATCTTTACGCTCATTTTTCTACAATAGCCGACTTTACTATTTCATGGTACAGGCTTTGGTTTTGCGTATGGCTGCTTTGTTGTTTGCTAGGACGTGATTTTGAACAATTTTTACTTTATTCCTCGTGGGATACTCTCTTAGGGGTGATATTACAGCTTTGTTGATGTACCAAGACCGTTCTGGTATTTAAACCGGGATGAGCCACCACCGATCAGCCATTATGGGTGACAAAACCGTCCAGTGGATGGCTTAAGAGCAATCATTGTGATGGTTGCTTCGTGATTTTGCGATCAGCATTTATGTCAACAGGGTGGTATATCTCTATCGTACGCGTGCAGTTTATTTAAATTTTGTGAGCAATAATGTTAGTTGTCGGAAGTTGCACCGTTGATTTAAAGTTATTATGAAATCATACATGTTTTACCTCGCGCGAACATATGAATCCATATTTAAAACTCACGGTCTTTCGCCTTATCCCTCTGGCCTCGTGCCTCTTCAGACTTACATGCCTCCAATCTAGCCACCGTTATTCCCATTCTTGCCACAGCACCCTCATCTATCTGACTTATTTTTGGCGTCAGGTAGACCTTACAGAGAGAAGGTTCCCATATTCACCTTGTTTAGATCTCCCTTTCGATCTCCATCACTTATTGCTTAACACACAGTTTTCTATGCAGCATCGACTTTATGGCTGCGTCCTTTAACATGTTAGATCTACTGGTGGGGGTGGTCATGCCTTGATCTCCGCCTGGTGGCCT